TTTTTTATAATTTTTTTTATTTTGATTCTTATAATTCATTTGCCATCGGGCGCCCATGCCCCCCTTCAAATTTTTTTTCGACTTAACTGTAGTTCAATTTTTTAAAAACAATTTTTAAATTTTAATAACCTGCAGTTAGTGCCTTACACATATCCATTGTTTCATGATCTAATTCTTGTAAATAAAGCTATGAGTTTATGAATACTGATATTGTAGACTGCAGTCTTTAATTTTTTTTTTTTTAATGCACACTTTTTCATACATTTTTTATTTTGATTCTTAAAAATCATTTGCCTGCGGGCGCCCATGCCCTCTTCCCATTTTTATTTTTAAAATTAAATCATATCAACATTTTTTATAATTTTTTTTATTTTGATCCTTAAAATTCATTTGCCTGCGGGCACCCATGCCTTCCTACCTATTTTTATTTTAATAAAAATAATTTAATCAAATAAAACTAATCAAGGAAAATTAATCAAAGAAAATTCACGAAAGAAAATTAACCAATGAAAATTAAAGAAAGCAAATAAATCAAAGATAATTAATTAAAGAAAATTAACCTAACCTAAGAAATTAAAGAAAAAAAAATTAAAGAGATAAATTAAAGAAAAAATTAAAGAAAGAAAATTAAAGAAAAAATTAAAGAAAGAAAATAAATCAAAGAAAATTAATTAAAGAAAAATTAATCGAAGAAAATTAATCAAAAAATAACTAAAAAAAATTATAAAAAATGTTGATATGATTTAATTTTAAAAATAAAAATGGGAAGGGGGGCATGGGCGCCCGCAGTCAAATGATTTTTAAGAATCAAAATAAAAAATGTATGAAAAAGTGTGCATTAAAAAAAAAAAAATTAAAGACTGCAGTCTACAATATCAGTATTCATAAACTCATAGCTTTATTTACAAGAATTAGATCATGAAACAATGGATATGTGTAAGGCACTAACTGCAGGTTATTAAAATTTAAAAATTGTTTTTAAAAAATTGAACTACAGTTAAGTCGAAAAAAAATTTGAAGGGGGGCATGGGCGCCCGATGGCAAATGAATTTTAAGGATCAAAATAAAAAAAATTATAAAAAATGTTGATATGATTTAATTTTAAAGCTTGTTATAGGATACTGTTGATGACTACTGTGGTTGAAATAGATAATACAATTTAACATTAGACCATGTTGCATAAGCAATCACTAAACATCTAATGGATCGTTAATGGTTTCTTAAACATGATTTATTGGCTCACGATTAGGCCATTAAATTTCAGTTAATCAGTTTTTTATATACAACAGTTTCATATGGTAAAAAATATATTACAAAAATTCAATTATTAGGTACCTTAATTAGATTCTTGTTGAAACATACTCTTCATATCCAAGGGATTATGACCAATCATAGATTTTATATCACCAGCAAATTTATAAACATGTTTTCCCTTAGCTCGTTCTATAATACCTTTTCCATAATGGTATCTCAATGCTGCAGCCATTTTATTGTAATCCATTCTCCAATTATTTTTAACCAAACCCCACATGATACTAACAGTACTTGGTTTTATTATTTTGAATGTTCCTTCATTATCAATCCATTCAATCACATTTTGATATTCACTGTCTGTTAATAAATGTAGTAAAAATTGCCAAATTTCTACATCATGATTAAAATCCGAATTTGAATACATTTTATTTTTATAGTTTAGAAGTGTCTGTATATTGATACATCCTTCATCATTTTGTTTAATATATACTTTGTGCATAGTTTTGAGTAGACAAACGTGTGTCCAAAAATCATCATTTGATGACTTATCTTCTAAACCAGTAATATCCCAACAAAAATTGTCTGAAGTTAACTGTTTCCCATTTATTGTTAATTCAGTGATATTTAAATTAGTTAAGTTGTATTCAATTTTAGCCCATTTCATCCAAGTACAAACTTGCATCTAAATAAATAACATAACATCAAGATAATTTTTCATTTTTATAAATGAAGATAACTATAACTGTTTTCCTATGTAATGTACACCAAAAGTCCACAGAAATATAGTAAAAAAATTAACCAATGATTAAAGAGATATCTCTTACTGAGTTCAGTCTATCTCTTAATAGTTTGTATAGGTAAATGAACTTATGGACAATGTTGATAACAACTAACTAGAGTGCTGTTTCTTAAAAAAATATTATATTAGTTATAAACTAATAATTGTCTAAAAAATAGTTTACTTATAAAAATCAAAATCAAAATTGTCTTTTATAATTAATTGATTGAAACTTGATACTTATCAGTTAAACATTATCTATATAAAAATATTATTTATTGAACTATTCAGTACTTAGGCACCTAAGTAATAATAAGATTTATTATACTAGAAATTAACTTGTAATGAGCTGTAGATAGTTATCTTTTTTTTGGCCAGTTTAAGAGGGCGCTATACTCGCATTTATTGTCTCCGTTTTACAAATGTAAAACATAGAAAAAACTGTTTTTCAAGAGTAACAACCACTCAGGCTGTAGTCCAAGATAAGGAACCAAATTTTCACACTATTAAGAGAAGAACATTTACTGAGCAATATTGTTTTTATTTATCGATCAGAAGTAAAAAAAAAAGTAATTCAAGTTTGAAAAACTTAAAAATAATGAATCTTTAAGCAATAAGAACTTTTTTAATTTTTTTGTTATCACACAATGTTCCACAGTCAATGTTCTCTTACTTGTGTGGAAATTCTGTTGATTAACTTGGGTTCTTATCCGCACCTCACATGAAACAGTTTTCACTATGTTATACATTTGTAAGACTGAAACAACACAAGTAGGTGTAGCATTTTCTTAATTTTAATATAGTCAATCAAGTATAAAAGTATATTGTTCAACATTTACTTATTAATTATTATACACCAACCTGATCCCATTTACACGGATCTTCAGGTAGTTCTAATTTTTTGTAAAACTGTTGATCAACAATCCAACGATATCCATTTTTATCAAACACTTTGCAATTCCCATTGTCAAAAGTTCCAGCATTTGTTCTTCTACCAATCACAAAAACGGTCTCACACCACTCTGCTGACTCCATCTATGTAATTGATTGATTCTTCTTAAATATTTTTTTTATAAAAACATTGCATTAAAACACAATAAATGCATACCTATTATACATAATATAATACTTTTTCTCAACACATGATATGTTACTACCTGTAGTTAGATCCACAACATTAGATGTATTACCCTGGCCCCTGAAGTAATCAAATACATAACATTAAATAATATTATTAATTATGTCTAGTTTAATAAAAACTTAGCATAGAGTAGGCATACCTACCTTAACTGTACAAGCGTACAAAGTAGTATTTCAAAGAAACATGATGAACCCAAACTGGCCAGAGAAATGGTCGTCAATATTTTTGGGGTAAGCTTTAAGACATCGATTTTTTAATATATTAAACATTAGAACTATAGAAATATAGAATATAATATCATAGAACCATAATATAATATCAAAGATACCTAGTACAGCTGATGTTTCATTTATGTTTATGTTTAATCTGTGCGATGGTCCTTGTTGCTGGGCTTATTCTGAGCATATAAGTCTTTCTGTCAGTCTGTCTTAGATAATACTATATTATAATATATTAGGTATAATGATGTTTATACCAAAGACAGGATTACTACTGATTTATACAAAAAAAAAAAATATTAGTATACTTTATAAGTCTATGATATTATATTATGCTTTTTTATGATTTTATTTTAATAGATTTATTAAAATTTATAATCATATTCAATATTGTATTATGATATAAACATAGAATGAGTTAAATAGATAAAAGTTTCACTGATTTCAGTCTTCAGTACAGATATATAAAAATACTATTATATTTGTATTATATTGTATTTTTATATATATTCTGTGGTCTTCAGTGTCTGATAAGTGATAACATAACAATACATTTTGACTTCAGTAGTTAGATTTAGTTAGCTAGATTTCGTTGCTTAATGGTTATCGTTATTCGTTAATCACTTGTTCGTTATATTATTGTTTTATCTTTTGTATTGTTATATTTTTATGATTGCGTGACATTTTTGAAAAAATTTATTACATTAGTATTAGTGTAAGTAGTAACTAGTAGTCTACTAGTATATAATTAATATATAATTTTTGAAGACTTGACTGTCTTCTGAATGTTTTGAATAATATAAGCAAATAATATTGATTTCTCAACTTTACAAGGTCAGTTCAAAGAAGTGTATGCATATCAGTGCTTGTCAAACACTCAATCACTTTATTACCACTTGAACAATGTCATCAAAACCAATATTGTTAAAGGTTTTATTTTTCATTAATTTGTTAATAATTACAAAGTAGTTTTGTGATTTTCTAATTTCAGGAGAAACCATTTGTTGACATGGAAGGCATCAATATACAAATTGAACCTTGCAAGACTTATTTTAGTGACGGATGTGTAGAAACTGCAGGAACTGATGAAACAGATTTACTGAGAGGAGAATCAAAATCTAATTCAAATGAATCTGTTAGTATTTTAGTTTTATCAGTGTTTATATGATATTTATGTATGATTTTTAAATTTGAAACCATAGACTAATAATTGGCCATCGTGGTTGTTTAAACAATCAGCAGTAATTGGTCACGGTGCATTGAATACTGTTGATTACCTTGGTGAATCTTTGGCTAATTTTTTTGGAATCACGACGCCTAAATATCAGTTTGAAATAAATTATCACAACAACATAATGCAAGAAGTGAGTTTTATTTAACATTATTATCAGATTTTATAGAAATGTAAATAATATTTATATTGTGGTACAAATAGGTAAAATTATTTCTAAGCCCCTTACCTCTTTATGTTATCAACCAAGCTGTGAACTGTCTCATATATGAGTAACCTCAGGTGATGACTGATTTTCATAGACGTTTAAACAAATGTTTTTCCTACAAACTAAATTAAATTTTTAAAGTAACATCATCACTCAAAGATTATGATTATGAAGGAAAACATAACTTGATAACATATTTTTAGTTATAAAATGAACATTAATACAGAATCTATACTACATAATGGAAAAATCCAGCTTGTTTTAGTTAAATCTTGATATTGTGAATTAATTCCAAATATCTTAACAATTTCCCAGTATTGGAGATGTTTATACTTTACAAAAATGGTATGTGGTTAAAAATTAGAAAAAAAATGATGAGTGTTCAAATAAAGTATTGAAATGGAAATATTGTAATTTAATAAATTATAGCTCACACAAAACAATGCTATAAGTTCGTATGTATATAATTTACAGGGTGATTAATTTATATGCTCATAGCAGAACACTCATATTCCTCTGTACCTAACCTAATCCAAACTTTTCTTTAACTAGTCAGGTTAAAATATACTAAATAGTATATAATAATATTTATATGTAGGTATATAGAATTGAATTAGTTATACTGACAATAACAATTTATGATTTCATTTTAATGTTTGTATTCTTTTTGTATTGATATATTATAAAATTAAATGTAATAGTTACTCAATAATTACATAGATACAATTGTTTAGATGAATGCGGAAAGAGTTATCAATGAAGAAAATATGAAAGGATGGACACAACAACCTCCAAAATGTATTATAACAGCAGAACCGTGTTGAGTTTACATTCACCATTACTTATTTGATTTTAAAAATTACCCACTCATAATTTATTCGATTACAAATAATATTGTATAATAATATTTGGAATTTTTTACATACTATGTGGATTGTAGAATTTACATTACTCTATCATTGAATATTTATGTATTTTCTGGATCACTCCAAGAATATACACAATTTCCTAATTATATTTATGTCTGTTAAATGTAGTGAAGTCCACCTAAACTAACTTGCCTCATATAAATAATTGTCAATTAATCAATAAGTATCAAAAAACATTAATTTTTATTGTGGGATTTATAAAATATATTTAAGCTCAAAAAATATTTACAATATTGAAAGTTTTAAAATTAATTTTTTTGTCTTAAAGATATATTTTAACCAAATAGTTTTGCATTAACAAATTATTATTATGATACATTATAAAAAAATGATTACCACTTTTACCTTATAACAATGTATTATTATGATTAAATTTTTCAAATATTTATTTAAGAATACAATTCTTTGAATTATTAAACTATTACCTTTATTATTAAAAATTATAAGTATTTTTATTGATTACTAAATCTCAGAAGTTAATGATTTCATTTTTTTTTTTTTTTAATGTCTTGTACAATTTTTCCTTACGTTAATGTGTATTTCAATAATATACAAATTTAAATAACTGTTTTTATTTTGTATTTGTTGGCAATGTCGGGCAATTTTTTGTAACTAATATTTTTAACCAATTTTCACTGCTTAATTTGTGACTTTTATTTAGATACATTGATATGTATTCAATTTCAATCATTTAAAAATCAAACAATTTTACAAAATGTCTTAAATAACTTTTTCATTAAAATAGAACTATACTATTGTTTTATATTTTAAGTATTATTTATCTTGAAATTGTTATGGTTTTTAAATTCTTTACATGCTTTAAAAATATTTTTTGTCCATACTTGCATTTGTTTAAATTATTAACTTCTGAGGCCTATTGATTACCATTACCATTACCATTTAACTTATGTATTATGCTAATTTATAAATTAATTTAAGAATATTTTTTTCTGAAAATGAAATTGATGTATCGTTATAAAATTAAAATAAATACTCTAGTATTTTTATTGTTATAATATTGTATGCATTGTTATTTTATATTAATAAACAATTTACTATAATATGCAAGAGATTAATTTTGAGTTATGACTACTTTCTGATGGTCAGAAATGAGTTCTATTTAATGCATGAACACCATACTTAATATTTAAAGCAACAGAGCCATATTTACCTTATATGGCTGACGCAGAATAAGTTGTTTTAGGTATCTTAATTAATCACTGATGGCAAAATTCAAAACTGCTTTAATTCGATTTGTGATGTTCTTGTGCTAAATAGAAAATTATGTGAAATATTGAGTGGATAACAGCAATATTTAATATTGTTGTGGTATTGCATTTCATAATTAGTGATATTTCAGCCGTAATACAAAAAATGTCTTGTATTCTCATAATAAATTGTAAAAAGCCATACGTTTTTGAGTTCAATAGACTGGAAGATGTGAATTATGTTTATCAGAGATTTTATTTGTTAGGTATTTAGGTACTTCAAAAAATGAAATTCCTGTTTTTTTTTTCATATACAAGGGTATTGAGGATTTACCCAGTACGATATCTTCTGAGATAATAAATAATATAATATCATAAATCTGTTTGTTTTTATTAGACTCACAGATACAAAGACTAAATATATTTTATTTTTTCATTTTTTTATTTTTGAAACATCCGGAATTGAAGACATCCATTTTGTAGTTTATTTTTTTGAAAATTTTGACCTTTCAACATTTTATTTTTAATCATTTTTTTAGTTTATAGGTAAATTGGCAAAAAACCGGTTTTGGTCCTGGCAGCGAGTTCCCCCTTACAGCCCTATGGGCATATCCTCACGGAATACCCTGTTTATCTAAATTTTTTACACTTTTAAAACTGTATTCACTATTTTAGCTTCCAATTTAACGGTGTTGAATCCTGATATTTTGTTTCTCTATAATTTCTGTAACTTTTAGTCCATTTAGTAATACTTACATTAACTTTGCATACAGATATAATAATTTGTATTAGTTAGACATGTAGCGAGCTGTGACTATGTTTAAATATTATTAGTAAATCACCCAAGTAGTTATAAATATACAGGTGAAACACAATATGTTGAAGGAGGCCTACGAAGCGCCTATTGTGCATGACCTCGAAACGTCAATATTCATAAATATATCACTACTCATGTGAATATTATTAAACTAGGTCACATCAACGGTTGTGTTGCCTCAACAGAGATGACAACGACCAGATAGGCAAGGGACATCCGGCGTGTGCAGCGCGTGGCCGCCCACGGGATGACCTTATATGGTAAAGTAGTAGGATACTAAGCAGGGACACGATCCAAGGTTCGCCATTATAAAATACGTCGCTCAAATAGGCTTCGGCAGACGGACCAACACCAACGAGGAGCTAGGAGTATAAGTCACATCTCGCTAGTTCCCATTCTTTAATTATAGTCAATTTGGACTAAGAAAAATTATCGTTTTGTAATAACTAAATAAAAGTATTTAATTTATAAAGAAAAAACAACTCTTCTTCATTTAATTTTACAACACCAACAAACGGACGTAGTCGGTTTGTTACAGACATTTTGATTCACATTAACGTGTAAGCCGCAGGTCCAGACTTATCGCATTTTAAAAATAATTATATCATTTTTAAAATTTGATCAATAATAAACAATGGACATTTATATTTTAAAAATTATTTATACTATGTAACATACAACCATTTAAAAAAAAAATTTCACTGGCCTTTAATTCCCTAATAAGTAGTCAGGTGTAGAAAAAGCACAATTTGTTCCATTCGTTCACATGCCTGTTTTGAATGACAAATTTTGGTTGAATTCATACAATACTTTCTTAGACCTATACTCTATCCAGTGAGAGAATGTGCCGATTCTGCGCATCTCCCTATGTCTCCCTGCCATCAAACCCGGTTACCCTATGGCAGGGTGTAGAGTAGAATGAGCAGAAAAACCAATTTCGATTGGCCCTAGCATGTTCTCTAGTTGGACAGAGTATAGTTATAATTACAGACTAAATAATGTGCTTGATGTAAGCATAATGAATAAAATTAATTTTAAATTAAAATTAGATTGGCGGAAATAATATAGCTAACTCAATATAGATAATATGTATTTATTAACAAGTTATTAATACCTACTTATCACAAACATTACAAAGATGTTCTTTAAAGATTGTATGTAAAAAAATTATCACTAGTTCAAACAATTTATAAATAAAAACTAACATAATTAATAAACTTTTTTTCTAACAAAAATAAATATCAATGTAAATTAAAAATAATTATTTTTTTAATAATTATAATGTTCATTTGGTCAAAACTCATAACTATAATACTTATTTGCCAGTTAAATAATTTAACAGTTTTACTTTCAATTCATTGATTTAATAATTACTATATAAGTCCTTACTCTTTAAAGATAGACTAGTGAAGGATGTGACAATGTTAATACAATGTACTTTATTTATAGACTGTTCTAAAGTTCTGAGAATAAGAATTTGTCATCATTTCAACAACTTAATGCAAATGAAATATTATGTAAAATAAAATAACAATTTTAAAATTTCTTATACATCCAATTAAAATAAACAGAAAACAAATAAATGATAACATAAATAGTCATATTTCAAGAAAGTTAAGAATAATGAACTGTAAGTATAGTACAATTAACATTAGTTTCATAAATATGGCATTTTTCAATACCCAAAATAGATTTTGAACAATAAGTTATCAAATATATCTACATATTATATGGTTTTTTTTAGCTTGAATAGATTTATTTTGCTTCACATAATGATTTTCAGATTAATTTATGAGCAATCAAATTTTTATATTTGGATTTATTAAAGCAATATAATCACAAACTTATTATTTGTAAACTGTATTTTGTGATGAATCTTGTTTTCGATATAATCTTTTGTTGTAGCAAGTTTTACAAAACTGATCAGCTTTCATCACGCTCAATAAAATCCATTATTTGCTTACTTATTATATCGGTAGCTTTTTGTGATTGTGGTATTAAGAATCTAAATACCATAAATTAATAAAATGTAATAAACAAAATTGATTAGAATATGAGTAATAGTAGTAATATTAAAGTTTAAATCAATACATTTTTAAAATTAATTCTAACAACTTTTCTAAATAAATAATTTAAAGTACTTAAAAAAAAAATGTCTAAAACTACTAAATAGTAGTTAGTAGATAATAATAATTTTTTATTTTAGATTCTTTAGATACCAAACCAATAAATAATGAGCATTGTATTATAAAATACAATTCAATTTAAAGTGGCCTAATTTACACAAAAATACTTGAATCAAATTAAAATAATAAATTGGTACTCATGTTTAAACTACAAATCATTAATACAACAAACTGAAAATTGTTATACAATTCCTAACTACAAATTTACAAACAATGAAATACAGTTAATTTATCTTCTATTTTTACAAAAATATTCATCAATAGCTGTTTTCCATTGTTACTTTATTGATGAGAATAAATTACAACGGTTACATCAAAGTCATAGGTAGTATAAATATAGAATCCTAATCTATTCAGTTCTGGTGGGTCTAACTTTTATAAATAGATATTGTCATAATTTGTTTTAGTCCTTACTCAAAATACATCTATATAGAAAAAAACAATTACTATAAAAAATACAAATTCATTTGAGAAGTTTGTTTTTTCCTAATAAAAAAGTATCAGTTGTAATTAAGAAGTATAGAACATGTATTAAAGTATGCAGCAACTTTTAGCAGCTAAAAATAAGTTTGGTAATTACCGTTCTACAGCTATTGGCTATTTATTAAATTCAAAATATTTTGTTCTGTCAAAATAATAAATGAATGCCAATCAAAATCTATTAGTTTTTTAATCACAAATGTAATAAAAAAAATTTGTCACTGATACGAAGTAACTCGAAATACAGGTAAAATGAATAATTATAAATGTTTAATTTGATGTAAAAAATATAACTTTTAGATATCCTTCAATTTTATTATTTTTAATTAGTTAAATTTTAAATAAAATAAGTGTATTTATTCTCATTAGTGGGAGTATGAGTATGTTTTAGCCATGTAGGTTATATGGTATAAGATGTAGTTAACAGACCTACTATAATATTAAATTCTTAAAAATTAGAAAATACCGTGTCTATACTATGCCATAAATTATTTTATAACATACAATATAACAAAAAATTGATCTTTTAAATGTTAAAATATGCATGTTAACTAAATTATTACTACTACTACCCTATTTTTCTCATATTGTACACATAACACAACTGAATATACAAAATATTAATAATAACCTGTCTATATCCTTTTCCGCTCCAGAGTATTCAAAAATAATCAAATCCGGTCGTTTTTTGCGACATTTGATATTCAAAATAGTTCCTAGTGAATGATTTATCAATGAACAAATTTTATTAGGATCTTTTGGGTCTATTTCAACTATTATAAGGTTATTTTCTGTCAACACCAATTTCCTAGTGTTAAAAAATATAAAAGCATCATATCAAACATTTGTTTATTCAACAAAAGAATTACTACTCAGTATAGTAAATAATAATTAGCATATTACCCTGGAATAACTGTTCCATCATTTCTGATATGTTGACAATCAAATGATGCAATTACATTGGATTTATTTAATAGCATCGACAAACTATTATTATGAGCTGCATCATATAACTCATCTATTTAAAATTTAATCTCAGGTTTATTAATAATATAATTGTAATTAAATTTGTTAATACCTTCTGAATCTTGATTATTATCATCTTCATCTATTGCAAAAACTGGTGCCATATTTCTGTATCTTTTGCTACCTCCATCCGTTTTTTCATTCTTTGTACTATTGTTATTACTTGATAAAAAATCCATTAATTTACCTTTGACTTCAAAAGATTTTGATCTCATGGCCACACTAAGATTTACATATTTAAATATTTTTTAAACATATTAATATTTTGAATAATATTTACCCGAGCTTAGAAAACAATTCATTAGTTGAATTTGTTTGAGTCAATCGTTCTTTATTTTTATGAGGACTACAAAGACACTGTGAACATCTATTACGATCATGATCACTCAGGCCATCAATATTGTTTTTTTCAAAATAGTCATGAAGTGCTATTAGAATGGAGATTGTGAAGGTTATTAATAAAATAAAACAATAATTCATTTATAAGAAGAAAAATACAAACCTTGATAACCACCATTTAACATCGAAACATAGAGAGAATGTTTTTGTAGAAAAGCAGAAACAACCATGTGAGTGTTTTGGTTAGCATCCAAACCACTACCACAACCTGAAAAACACCAATGTTCTCCTCCCCCTGAACGACCCTCAACAAAGCTCTGCTTTTGACATGATAATAACCCTTCAACCGCAGTCCAAAAAGAAACAGGATCTTCCAAAAGCTTTAAAATCAATACATAAATTGAACATTTTTTTTCAAAATAAAATCATATACCTTACATAAGAGTCTTGCTGCAAAAACAAGATAATTCCATGTTTTTAAGGAACAAAATAAAGAAATAAATTACCTACAAGTGAGTGCAATAACCAGACATAATTAGTTTTTAAAGTAAATACAGAGTATAATATAGAACAGACCAATACTATCGAGTATCTTTCATAGAATTCAAAATTGTAAGTATGATTTTCAATTAACATTATCAAATCATTTAAGTGTTTTTTATCATCCCAAAAAGTTTCAAAAAGTGAACTTGTCTGGATTTTGAAGCATACAGTGAATTAGAACATTAATAATGGTACATACTAAGGTACTGTCCAATGGAAAGGCAATAGGCAAGTGTCCAGCATTGTACTGTTCAGCAGGTCGGCAATCCATAACAAAAAATTTCAAGCTGTTTGTCACTGTTCTATTAGTATGAGATACTAGTTCGTTTACACTGATTGGAAGGCATAACATTTGTGAAATTCCTTTATCCTGCAGCTTTGGATCAAAAATATACCCAGCAACATCCTGAAAATCACACAGAATACTAAATATTGAGTTTCCCCGATATTCAAATACATACTTTTATGAAGGATGAAGGTGTTTGTTTATCATAGTATTCTGCCAAAGACCAAAAATCATTTATATCATCTATGGCCAATTGTGATGGCAAATTCCCAAGAATTTCAATCAATTGTGTTTTTGGTTGATGTTTTAATGAAAATATATGATCCCTAATATAATATTTAAAACTTTAGACTTAGATAAATGTAGGTTATAAAAATATTTACCTTGCATTGATGATGAATACTAAAGCCAAGAAAAATATAAAAAACCTGTCTTTTTTTGCTAAGTATAAATCCCAAATAGTTAATATTACTTCTAATGAACATGTTTCTGAGAATAAAGTTTGTATCTAAATAACAAAAGCAATCAAAATTAGTAGTTATTGAGAACTATTATATTTTAGTAGATTAATAGATACCCATGAGTCACTATAAAGTTCTGGTCCCAATTTCAGAGAATCTAGTAAATTACACAATTCTGGATCATGATATAATAACAATATCCGTAATAAATGATAACAGTCTTGATGTTTGGCTAAGTACTCTTCATCAACCGCACGAAACATAGTATATGTATCAATTCGTGGTAATTTTAATGATATAATCGGCCGAATTATTGATGACCATTTCTTACTCATATCATACGTATCTGTATTATATATTTTACACATTGTTACCAATATAGCTTCAGTGTCTGACAGACAGTTTAACTTTTCATCTTCATCTTCAATTTCTAAAGAAGCTATATGTATTTAGGAACAGATATATTAAAATGTATTTAGTACCTCAATAATATTAGTTTATACACAAACCAATCAACATTTGACAGTCAACTTCCAACTGTTCTATATTCTTTATAATTGGTCTCTCGTCTAACAAAGTTTGAATAGTATCATCATCACGATTCAGCAACTGACGCCACATTTGACCCCTACATTCATTGGCAATTACAGTAAAATTTCCAGATTCTTCACTAAGTGGAGACTCGTCTTTCTCACAAAGTGCTTTTTCTAAAGCTTTCATCCTACATATAAATCATTTTAATCATATAATTCATAAACATAACATTATGAATCTTGTGTATACGTACCATCCTTCATCTTCTTCTTCAGACATCTTAAATCTTATTTATCTAGACTAGCAAAAGATGTATTGAATAAATTTGAGAAGAAAACATAGCTGTTACATTGATAACTCATGGAACATTCTTCGTTAATGATCAACTACTCATAACAGATATTCTTCGGCACTAGAAAATAATCAGAAAACCAAGGTAAGCATGATCAGAAAATGTTCAAAAGTAAATAATTATAATAAAAGTGCATTTTCTGAAATGTATTATTATTTATTACAGTTAAATAATGTTATCTAATATGTATTTATTTTATCATTATTTTTTAGGAAAATGATAAGTCTTTTATCAGGACCTATTCGTTTAAAATGTAATTATAGGTTGGCATTAATGTGCAATTAATAGTACAAAACTACAAAATACAAAAGGATTACTATTACCTATTGGCTATTAGGATAATCTGCAGTACCTTCTATAAATTAGCATAGGTAAAAACTAATAACAATATTATATTAAATAATAATCACTAAATAGATAATAAAAAATACGAAAACTAAAAATATGCATGGTGATTGTTTTGTAGGAGGTACATAAAATATGTCACGGAGAATTCAACAATTTTTTCTCAATGAAAACCGGGATTGGCATTGCACCGTATTGTTTGAAATCAAAATTAATAGGTAGCTACCGCTTTCAGTGATAGTTATTAGTTAATAGGTACTTTACTGACGAAAATGATATGACTTAAATAATATTACGATATTATGGTATATGGATGCCTTTAAATTTTAATTGGATAATGAATGCTGATCAGTGATCTCAAAATGTTGAACTGCAGCGTGAAGGTCGGCAATTTTAATAACACAATGACAATATGAAATTATAACAATAACATTTATTAGACATAGTCAATACTCAAGAATTAGTGCATTATTATAAATAAGTACTAAAAAATACTATAATTATATCAATGCTATATTGCTTTTATACCTCCGATTATCGACCACATTGTGTCAACGAGCTAAATCCACTAAAAAGTAAAAACAAAAATAAATACCTACTTATATAGGTAGTAAAATTGGTTGGAATAATAGATAAAGTATTGGAGTGGGTAAGTAGGTATACATATTATAAGTGGTGTAAACAAAGGGGGGGGGGTGTTTTATCCCCCCCATTTCAAAATCCTGACTAATGACTATGCCACTGCATACCTACTACCTATTTACCAAAATATATAAAATTCAGAGGATATGCGATAAAAAATATTCTTTCTAACTTTATAAGACTAACTTTCACTGTACAGAAGAAGATTCATTAGATGACATTAGTTTATTACTTGGTATCCTGGTATAATATTATAGGTAGATGTCTACATAGGGTAGTGTAGAAGTCTATGTTATATATATATATATATATATATATATATGTAATTTATAAAGAATAAGTAGCCATGCAGTCATTTCAGCCAGCAAATAAAAGAAAGACTATAATAGCAGGTACCTACTAAATAATTTTACTATACGTTCCTAATCCCTAAGTTCCTAAATTGTACGAATAATTGATTATTAAATTATTTTATATTTAAATTTTATTGCAAAATTTATTGTTTGATAGAGATTTCGGATTAACAAAATTGGTATTATTTTATTTATTAATCACCTAGATAAAAAATTGACCAAAATGTATGTTTTATTAAAATAAAATTGTCTTAAGTATAGTATGTTTATATATTTGTTAGATATGTAATATATGTTTTAAAACGTTTTCAATATATATCATAGTCAATACTATACCTACGTCATAATGTGTAGCATTTTTTGGGTACATGCTTTTTAAGAAGGATCATTTTATACATACCTATTATAGTAGCTCTGTACTTTAAATGGAACAAATTTCAGAAATGTTTCAACAAACAAGAATATACAAAGAATTTGTTCAGAGGCCAGACAAAAGCTCCTGGGTGATTCCAAAATTCGAAAGTGCGGGTGCCAAGGAAATGTACCTGCTGCTGGACAATTAAAATAGAATACATTCCTCAATTTATTGGGTATGTAAAACCATTTCGGGTAGATCTCCAGAGTAGAAATAGTCAACCTTTGTTTGGGGGGAGGCAAGCAACACAATATAAATATACTACATAAATATATAATACTCGTGGTCATTCAATCGCCTTGACAATTAAAATCGAAAACATTCCTTGAAATTATCATGTAAATTTTAAACAGTTAGTTTCCGCAATTTTTTTCAAACACTTTTAAATTTAGCATACTTACACATGTATTTTGAAAAAAGGGTGTCCGGTAAAGTAGACTTATACCGGTGCTTTAATTGGATCTTCAAATAGACTAAAAAGAGGAGTTTATACTTATGACTAACTTTAGATTTATCATAGGCATCTACATTTACATCACATGTAAGTTCTTTATTACAGTGTTTTCTTAAGTACCTAGTTTATTACCAACGCCTTAGAATATAAAATTATTCGGTATAAAATAAAATGTATTCAAACAAATATTACCAACCTCTATGCACCTACATCGTATATACTTTTATACAGGGTGTAACATAAAGATCTAACAAAAAAAATTAATGCTAGTTGAACGTATGACAAAAATTGTGAAAATTATATGGACAATGAAATATAATTTAAGAAATATGTTCATGTTAGGAAGTTCCCAAAAATAATATTTTGAAAAAAGTTTCTAATTAATTTACTACAAAAAAATATTGATGTTTTAAAAAATTCTAATAAGAAACTACCTTTTTGACTTGGATAAGTGTTCATACCATCAAAATTGGTCTTATAATCAGATTTACAAATGGGCTATTATGAAAAAAATGTATACTAAAAATACAGCGCAAGTTTTTATAAATTATACAAAAATAATATCTTTTTTTATTGATGGAAACGAAAGTGTTAGTGCATTAGTCAGTTATTTCTGTTATACCCTGTATACCTGCTATATTATAAATAATACAAGTTACTACAGCAGCTAATCCATATACTTATCTAATACATAATTCATTTACAGTAACACTAAGATTACTTATTAGTTAATAGTTATTACACCTTTATTGATATTAAAACAACAGACGTACCCACCTATATCGACGATTAACATATTAGTACCTATGAAGGAATGTTAGGTCTAAGGCACAGACTAATAAGTAGCATAGGCCTACATAATATGTATAATACTACATATATTTACATAGGTACATAGGTACTTAGTTTATAAGTACTTCAACCCCTCCTCCTAAGACCAAGGCCAGTAGACATATTTACATAGGCAGATATTGTTGAATACAACTTGGACATTTAACATACAATTTTGGTTTTATAGTTGTTAAAATTTAAAATCATAAACTTGTCCTTCGCCATTTATCTGCCTATATAATAGTTTCATATTTACAATAACTTAATATTCCATATTGCCGAGCAATCGGTTAATTTTTATTATTATATAATCTCATTATAGTTATTACTTATTAATCATTAATTTTTATTAATTTGCCTTCGTAGCTATTATGAACATAAGCAATTCTTCGATGTTCATGGTAGCTAAATATTTAGATATCGCGCACTATTACCTTCAAAAGGTGATAGTACTTAATACTAAGCAAAAATCATTTTTAGAAAATATTTTAGGAGATTATATTTTATGTTTCATTGTTTTTTTTAAACAAGTCTTAATAATGAATGTTATCAATTATCATGCATTTTAAGTTGTCCTGGTGGAAAGGGGACGGGGCTTCTGGCAGAATGTAAAATATTCCAGCTTCTCGTCTCTACGTTTCGAAAAGGTGTTCAGTTACGATGTCTCATTATATTTTATCATATATTTCATATTATTATTTACATACTAAATGTGTATTAATAATTAACATAGGTACTGTAATTGTAGAGTTATCATTAGGGCCCGGAATTATATGCACAAAAAATGTACGAAATATGCATGCATTTATGCACTGAATATCATTAAAATATGCACTTTAAATATGCACAAATATGCAAACAAAAATGAAAGTTTAATAAATTTATTTAGTTTTAAAATGTATATAATTCATTAAATAATCTATACTAAATAGAAAAATGTATTCTAAAATATATTTACAATATTTTTGTACGTTGTATTGAACTGCGTTGAGTTGTGATTTGAACATTCACTCATCTAAACAAAAAGTCATGAACGAAAATAAATTTAAACAAATGCAATAGATTTTAAGATATTTTAAAATTTACCTGGAGAGTTACAATTAACTACTAAAGACTTGGCTAGATTTTCAAATAAAAATGCACGTCGGTTTTCAGCAAATATGTTCTTGAATCGAGAAAAACTTTGTTCTACATCCGTTGAAGATATCGGGGCATACTTAAAGTATACTAAGTCACTGCTTGAAAGATCTTCTGGTATATTGTTCGTTGAGGTATTTTCTCCAGTTATAATTTTGGATATATTTGATAACTGTCAAAATCCGTAATTTTTTTCAATAACATTTTAAAATTTGTTGTATATTTCAACACCATTTGCGCAAGATACTTCTTTAAACTTATTCTCAATAGGTATTTTCAACAATTTTAATGGAATCAGCTAACGAAAGATTTATTTCTTATTTCATTCGTTATTATAAATCTTATTATAGCCCATATCAAATTATACTTCATGATACACTGAATTGACGTAGGTAAGTCTTGCACATAATAATAATATACTTCATACTATTTTTTTTCTATATATGCATTATTGCATTATATTTCAGAAAATTACTGAAATATGCACATTAATTTAAAATGGTCCAAATATGCAAAAAGATGCCAAATTTAATTTTGGATATCAACACATTAGGTTAAGATTCAAATTTGTATCTTACCTAGCTACTTTTTAGATAAATAGATAGAAATATGCAAATGCATTTCAATTTCGGGCCCTAGTTATCATGATTTCACACTAGGGGTAGTATGAGTATAGTATCTATAATTAATACAAAAATAAGTAACATATTATTTATTTATCTTATTGAAATTCGAGACAATTTACAATTTAATCTTTTTGACCTACGCACAACAGACAAAATGAATACATGCAAATTAGTTTTTATGGATTTTTAATAATCTTAAAGTCAAATAAATATAAGATTAATAAAACATTGGTATACAATTTCCACTGAAAAAGATAATTGATGATTGAAGAATTATTTCGACTACTTATGGAGAACACAGATACACAAAAAAAAAAACACACACCATTGTAAAATCAATACCTCATGTATCGCTCCGCTCAGAATCTATAAGTTTTAATGTAATACAAGATCCATCATAAGTTATTTTACTGGAATTCGAGTAAGTCGTTTAGCATAAGGTGCTTAATTAATATACATTTCTTGAACGTTTGAAGTTCAAATTTCGGTGAAAAAATGCATATAATTTCTCCTCAAACGATGTAAGTTTAATGTTTAATGATGTAATTTTGTTTACAGAACTGTTCCAAATGCCTTCCTAAGTGTCACCACGTCGCCCGATTTTCAAAATTTCGATTTTTAAGGATTGAAATAGGTAAAAATAATTTTTATATGTAATTGGCTATATTTATGAGTTTTATAGAAAACAATGACTGGCTCAATTATACAAATTACGTTATCGAAAAGTAATAATACATTTCCTAGACGACCAGACGCCGAACGCGCGCCGATTGTCGGTTCATCATTGTAATGCGGGTATTGGGACAAAATATCCAAGGAAAAAATATCCTGTACTAAAATATCCAAGTCAAAATATCCAAGGTTAAAATATCCAACGGATAAAATATCCTGTACTAAAATATCCAAGTCAAAATATCCAAGGTTAAAATATTCAACGGATAAAATATCCAGGGATAAAATAATCAATATATGGGACAAAATATCCAAGTAAAAAAAATATTTTTCCCCCTTTTTTTCTTTAGATACATTGTTCATTTTTAAATCACATTTAACATTGATAATACTTTGTAATATAGTAATAAGATAATAATAGTAAAAATAATAATACAACTTAAGCTCCTTTGTCTTGAATATATTAATGGTGAAAAAGAATTAGATATTCTTTTAATTGCAATAGCAAATATAATACAATAATTTATTACCTCTTTTTAAACAATTTTTTTTAAATATTATTAAACACTTTTAGATGATATAGTGTAATACACAATTCCTATAACTAAAGATATAATTATTATATATAACGCAACATATTATTTTTATTATTATTTTATTACTGTATTATGAAGTATTATTGATATTAAATGGTATTAAAACGTGATTCAAAAAACAACAATATAATGAATTAAAAAAAAAAAAATTATATGATTATTAATAATACATTTTTATGATTTTTTTTTATTTGGATATTTTGTCCCATATATTGATTATTTTATCCCTGGATATTTTAACCTTGGATATTTTGACTTGGATATTTTAGTACAGGATATTTTTTCCTTGGATATTCACTACGGGATATTCAGTCATCAGATAAAACTATGGGAGACATCACATTAGTATTTGCGAGAGATTTTAGGCAAACATAACGGGTTGTTCCACGAGTTTACACAATTTGATCAAATAAATGTGAACCTTAAGTCATCTACGATTTGGTTGAAAGTCAAAATATTGTCGCTTACTATAAATATGTGAACCAAATTAACAGGAGATATACACGAAGGAGAATTTCATACAGTACTCTTAAAAATTGGCAGTGGAACTGTAAATGACAAGGACGGGTACATCACAATTGCAAAAAAAAACTAGCAGTATCGACAAATTCGTTGGAATCAAAGTAAAAAATCTAAGTAGTGGATGGTTATGCGAACACGTTATTTTGACAACCACAAATAATCAAGATGACTCAATAAACTCGCTAATAATTAGTGGATTTCAAGCTCTAGAGATGGATTACTTTTCTATCGACACAGTTGTTAATAGTGAAGAAAGATTTTTCAGTAGGTATCAATTTTTGGGACACAGCAAAGCTGTAAAATAATATATACTGGAACGCGACTACGTGAATTTTTTACAGCCATCTTCTATTGTAAAGCTTTTTTGAAATCGTGGATAAATTTAACAGTGATCTTTCAGTTTGTAGAACTTCTAATTTCTATAGTACAGTATTGTACCCCCCTCGAATGGCGACACTGAGCAGACAGCGTATATTTGAACTAATAAACTACCTATAAATATTAATTATTATATTATCGAGACAATAGTTTTCTAGTGCGTATGCATTACATAACATTATATTTCCTCAAAATTAGAAAGTTATGGTTATCTATGGTATTTTACTTACAATATTGGACTGTTTTTACAACCAGACACAGTAAAAAATGCCTACCTTGACACCTTGCACCTCCCATCAAATTCTGACACTGAACAGGTACCTACATACTAGTCTCAATACTATCATATATTACCTATATTTTATATTTTAGTTACCTAAATCAAGTCTTGATAATTTGAATGACTTATATAGACGATATTCAACTGACCTCGATAGCCAACATTCAATCAATATCCATTGTCCACATGTATACACTGTAAATTAGGCATCTACTATTATATTAATTTATATTTACTATAGGTAGTAGGTACAATACATATGCTTAGTATAATATAAGTATACTCTATGAAGTATGACAGTATGTTATATATTTAAATCTTATATTATGTTTATATTTTTAATTTCAGAATTTGGATTTAGTAAAAATTTACTTCAAAAAGCAGCATAGCATATTATATAGGTAATCTTATGCTGGTATCTAAAATAGAAATTTAATATAATTTATTACAAATAATAATTATTATGGACAACTATAGTTAATATATTAAGTCAATATACAATATACAAAGATTAAGAAAAAATAAAAAATCCAAAATCTTGGTAGGTTGATAATAGGTAAGGTACTCACATATTATTACAGCGGTGATAATCAACATGTAATAAAAAACATGAACAACAGTACACAGATAAGAAAAATAGTAAATAGGTAACCATAGTTCATTATAAATAAAATATACTATAAATGTAACTACAGTAACAACACACTAGGAACCTAAAATCTAAATTTATTCACACTTGCAAAATTTGTTACCAATAAAAATATTAAATTCAATAGACAAGAAATAAAATTAATATGAACAATTGATTAATTATTGTTGGTATGTTAATATGTTATAAACATTTATATTTCCGTATTTCACATTTGTAAAGGTACATACTTAATACCTATTACCTACACGTATGGCATTCAATGATGTCAAGTGTTAACTGATTATATTCTACAATAATAATTATTTATTATGTTCACGTTTTAAATAATGAAAGCATTGCATGATGTGATACCATATAAAAAAACAATAAGTAGATTACTACTGCGTTAAATTGGTGGTATAACACTGTTATGTATGAACTATATTATATGGTTAATTTTATTTCAACATTTTGAATTAAAACTGAAAGGTATCAAATGTATCATTGGATCTATGATCTATCATAAATTGAACAGAATGTTGGTAGAAGTATTTATACAGTGAAATAAATCAATAATAATGTATTAATAAATAATAAATAAATTTTTATACAAAAAAACTAGGGTTGATTTACTTACACAAAGTGATTTTTTAAACATGCCCTCCCTATTTGTATGCTTAAATTATACAAGGCTATGATTTCGATTTTGGGAATTTTTAAATACACTTTGATGACCATATTATCGAGTACTTAAGATATTTTGTGACACTTAAGGGTGATCCCGTGATATATAAACTTATAGTTTTCGATCAGGAACCCTCCTCTCCATTTTTACTTTTAATCATACAGCCGATATTTTTTTTTAGAATTTTGATATATTATCTACAATCTACAAAAAAATTCGAAAGAGTATTTTTTATGACTGTGTGCTAAGGATAATATGTCTATGGTAATTCCGTCTATTTCGGTATACCGGGTTTTTGCTCAAATACCGCTGTAACAGTGTACCTTAAACTGGTACATACCGTATTACAGGCGCATACCGGAAAACCATAATACCGTGATACCATGGGGGGGGGGACGGTTTTATTGGTAAAACTGTTTCTGCTGAAATGAATATTAATTATAAAATAAATAAATATCGCTTAAAATAGCGATAAGGAGGCTTCACACTGATCCGTGATAACGTAAATCGTGATTTTAAACAGTTTTACGGTCTGGTATCACAGTATTGTGGTTTTCTGCTAACCCGGTGTTCTGGTATGTATTGGTTTTGTGGTATATGCCGGCATTACGATATACCGTTTCATACCAGTACCGAATTCAATACCGTCAACCCTAGGTTAAGTAGATACGGATTAGATGATTTGAAAATGCAAGTTATTACTATTTACTAATCATTATAATATTTATAAATAATTCGTAAAAAAGGTACTAGTATACTAAATATTACATAATATAATTTAT